GTGTTCTTCTCCAAACATTTTTTTTTTCCATTTTGCCTTCAGAACGCCTTCTTACACCACCCTCAAGCTCACCTTCTCCATCGCATGATCAGATTGCTTTTTACGCCAGAATTTCAACTGAGGAAAAAGCCCCAGGGGGACATCATATCCTTGTATTCGATAACGTGGTCACAAATATTGGACATGGATATAATGGGGTTGACGGTATCTGTACTGCCCCAAAAGGTGGAGTTTATGTTTTTATTTGGGTCATAAGATTATATGAAGCTCAGCATTCTACGCAGCTCCTGATCAACAATGTTGAGTATGGATCAACTCACTTACGTGCTATGAATAATGATGATGGATCTGTGAGCGGAAACGTTGTTGCGCATATCAACAAAGGAGACGTTGTGTTCGTCCGTATCTATCCTTATAACGGATACATTGGTAGCGGAGATATTTTCAGCAGTGAACACGGAAAGCCGTCATTTTCAGGGTGGCTTCTTCAATAGACCTTGCATGATTGGTCTTTGAGAACATTAATAATTTTCATAAATATAATTATAAAGCCTTCATTCTCAACTTTTGAATGCTTCAGATCACATTGGAGTTTTGCTGTGATACTGTGATGTATGTTAGCTCATCCGAGCTGAAGGTTCAGGTGAACTTTATCTGATAACAATAATAACTAGAGCAAAGCTCGTTGCAAAGCAACGAGTGGGTCTTCCTTCCTAGCGATAAGCAAAAGATTAAATGTTTCTGTCTAGATTGTCAACTTTGCTAACATTCTCTTTTTCGATTTGTCTCAAAAACCCTTACTTGAATTCTTTAATTTGGTACCCTTACTTGAATTCTTTAATTTGGTGTGAGCATGGTGTCTAAAGGGTACTCTCTCTAACAGCATTCTTGAAATCGTATCCACAACAGTTTAACTTCCAATATTATGACTTTTGATATCGGATATATCATGTTGTTGCAATTATGTTTGTGAAACGTGTAATACTACAGAAACATAAGTGTTTTGCTACATTACCATCTTAAAAATGGCTTTAAAATCATTTAATATACAATATAACTAGGTAAATAAAATAAACAAATTATATAATAATTCAAAAAATCCAAATGTATTTACAATAATGATGAACAATCTTCATTAGTTGCAATCAGTTAAGTAGAACAATACTTTTATAATAAACGCACAGAAATGTGTTGTGTATGTTTCAACTTGCAGCTTTCCACTAGCAACTGGTGGTACCTCAATAGGAGTGTAAAATTCTCTGAAAGGTATATTGTAAACATATTACATATGGCTGTGTTTTCTTTAGCAGCTTTGGCGGAATGCAGCAATCACTAAATCAAGTACAAAGCTAAAAGTCTTGGACATAAACATAAATAAGAATATCTACGCTAACTTATTCAAAAGTCAATTTCCACCAAATATTGTACAAGCTAAATATAATACATTTACAGCATTAAAGAAACAAATCTCTTTTAAGGTATTGCCTTGCATAAGAACAATTTGAATCCCCTACACTACGGATGCTCTGTGCCAAGTTTCACTTTGGTTCTGGAAAATGATATTGTGAAATTTTAGACAATAATGATAATGGATAAAATTATGTTTTTAAAAAATTTACTGGTTCCTTTAGCTCAGATGGGCTAATAAGTATGCAACAGGACAACTTTGCCAGTTGACATTGAAATGCGACTGGACATCTCTTCAATCTTGTTTTAGAAAACTACATGTACATGCCCTATGTACTGAATTCCTTGGAATCATACACATGTTTATGCCTTTAATTAGTTGTATGTGCCAAAATAACAATTGTTTTTCCATTATACTAAAAAAATACACATACATGTATTACAAGTTCCTGCTGAAGACAGAGGATCTATCTTAATCATTAGAATAAGTAAGTCTAAACTTTGAAAGGGAAGACCTTAATAAAGAGGTCAACATGCTACACAAACAAAATATAATTATATTTAAAAATAACATTTATTCCAATGTAATTACTGGTACATGCATTTCTGTTACAAAAACTATTTCACTTGAAAAACTGAGAGCAATTGATATGTTCATATTTGTGGATTTATGTTGTCAAATCAAAATTTATAATTGATACACAGTGTGTTTTAAAATTGTCTTCACAAACCAAAACTTGACTCATTTTCACTATGCTGTTTATTCCATGTCACATCCAAACAGATGATCTTCTGGCAAATCATGGTCATGCTTGGTATCAAAATTCAGTATTCAGATGAGTCACACCTATCCAAAAGAAATTGAAATTTTTTATTTTATAATTCTTTTACTAATAAAAAGTGCAATTCATGAGATTATAAATTAGATTATCAAATTGAGAGATAAGATATTGTCACATTTTCTGTGTATAATTTGTAAATTTTAATGTACTCTTTCATCAATTAAAAGAAGTTTACACCAATTAAGGCAGTCATTTATGCTATCCCCTAATAAGACAACATACAAGTGCAAAGTAATAATGCACTAGCGGGTTTAGGATAATGTGCTAGAGTATTTATGACAACATACTAGCACGAGGTGACAATGTGCTAGCATGTACGTCAGTGATAATATGCCAGCACACTGAATCCAACATGCAGTGAAGCTAACACTCAACAGATTGTTTAGAGTTGTGTTTGCATGATATTTTGTTTTGTGTAAACACAGCAGCGTGTTGTTTAAAGCTGCATTGGAGTGGCAGTCTGTTGAAATTAACATGCTAACACACTGCAACTTCACATCATTGGAACACCATAATTTTAAAACTGGCAAACCAATATCTTATGATTACTAACTAGGTAATTGCAACTGTAAATGCTGATTTCATGGTGACAATAATACCGGTAATTCACTGTATATCTGAGAACTGATCAATTATAATAAGGCGTGTCCAGATAGGGCCACTTGCTAAAGCTCAATAGCACTTTCATAAAAGCGTGCCATCTTACCGACACAAAAGACGCCATTAGGCTATCACACAGCTCGCCATCACAACACTGAAAAACACTTTCGCACTAACACAACTTCGCACCACACACTGTCACACTAACACACAACACACTGTCACACTAATACAATTTCACACAACAAAATATCAGGCTAACACGAGTTCACACAACACACTATCATGCTAACACAAATTCACAAACACGCTGTCTCGCTAACACAAAATCACACAACACGCTGTCTTGCTAACACAAGTTTTACACAACACGCAGTCTCGCTAATACGAGTTCATACAATACACTGTCTAGCTAACACAAGTACATGCAACACACTGTCACGCTTAGATGAATTCACACAACACACTGTCACGCTAACATGAGTTTACACAACACGCAGTCTCACTAACACGAGTTTACACAATACACTGTCACGCTAACACGAGTTTACACAATACACTGTCACGCTAACACAAAGTCACAAAACAGGCTGTCTCACTATTCACTAACACAAGTTCGCACCAAATGCTGTTGCGATAACACACTGTCATCCTAATACCATTTCACACAACACACTGTCATTCTAATACCATTTCACACAACACACTGTCAGGCTAACACAAGTTCACACAACACACTGTCACGCTAACACGAATTCACAAAACAGGCTTTCTCACTATTCACTAACACAAGTTCGCACCAAACGCTGTTGCGATAACACACTGTCATCCTAATACCATTTCACACAACACACTGTCATCCTAATACCATTTCACACAACACACTGTCAGGCTAACACGAGTTCACACAACACACTGTCACGCTAACACAAATTCAAAAAACATGCAATATCCCTAACACGAGTTCACATAACACGCAGTCTGGCTAACACGAGTTCACACAATATGCAATCTCGCTAACACGAGTTCACACAACACACTATCTCTCTAACACCAGTTCACACGACAAATTTTCAGGATAACAAGTTCACACAACACACTGTCACGCTAACACGAATTCACACAACATGCTGTCTCGTTAATAAGAGTTCACACAACACGCTGTCTCTCTAACATGAGTTTACACAACATGCAGTTTCGCTAACACGAGTTTACACAACACGCAGTCTCACTAACACGAGTTTACACAAAACGAAGTCTCGCTAATACGAGTTCAATCAACACTCTGTCTAGCTAACACGAGTTTACACAACACACTGTCACACTTACACTTTATACACAATTTCACACAACACGCTGTCCCGCTAACACGAGTTTACACAACACATCGTCAAGCTAACAAGAATTCACACAACCCACTGTCAGGCTAACACAATTAAGTTCACAAAACACACTGCCTTGCTAACACAAATTCATACAACACACTGTCTCGCTAACACAAGTTCACAAAACACACTCACATTGCTGAGTTTAACACTAACAGATCTTTATATTAGTAAAGAGCTTCAAATTTAAGACAAAAACATGTATGCAGTAATGTTCCTTAACATGCATCTGGCATATAAAATGAATGAGACCTTAAAAACCTCACAGTACATGTTTACTTAGCTAAGTAAAGATCTTAATCCATGCTATTCAACAATATATATCAACATCTCTAAGTATGTGAATGAGTGAAATTCTCCAATAAATATTATAAATCAAAGTATCAATAAGAAGCTGAACCTTACGTCGCAGGTTCCAATCCCATTGCTAAATGCTTTAGACAGGTTACTCCTATGAGACTGCATAAACCAAGATTCTGTGTCACGGTAGGTGTTAGCACAAAATGGATCTCATACTTCTTAAAGGCAATAAGTGCTGAGTACAAGTCTATATTTGCAGCTAATACCATCCCAAGTGGTGGCACCATGAAATGACTGAAAAATGTATGATTAAGGCAAATAAACAAACATTAAACCATTACAGCAGTCTTATCAAACAAAAAAAGCAAACTTTCTATTATTACAATTTTTTTAAACAAATTTCTTTTGCAATTTAACTGAGCAATATTTGTCCTTTTTTGTCAGTAAAGTATGATATTAAATAATTAAGACTTTTTGAGAACATCTATTTATAGCGAGTCCAGACAACAGCACAAATCCCTGCCATAATGCGAGCTCTTATGATAAGACCTTGGCAAAAGAAGATTAATTAAACATTTGAATAAACTCTCAGTGTGAACACTGAGCATGGATGCACCAAATGTCAAATGCGGCTTGACAAGCACAATCTAAATTAAAACTAAATAAGTATATGCCCTCACCCTTACAGTCACACTGTCGGAACGACTTTACTTTACCGGTCCCCAGAAAAACGTGCTAAAATGTGTTGCCTTCGGTGGCGACTTCACTATAAATGAGATCGCGTGAGCAATCGAAAAAATTAGAAATACGAGGTTTTTTTGCCTTTTGACCCCAAAATCGAATTCTACGGTTAAAAGTTTAGTTTAAAACTTCGTTTTTAAACGTAGTTTTTAACCTCGATCTCTGAAAGAAATTAATAAATATTGTTTATTCGTGGAAAAAATCATCAAAGAATAATTC